TTAAGCGTGTTTGACTTTGAGAAATTTTGGGATGGGTAACCTTCTGGGAAGTTTCCCAGAAAGCTTGTGAGTGAGGACAAAACATGCTGAAAAGATCTGTGTTTGTTTGTAGGGTCAGTCGCTAATCCCGAAAGCATTATGGGGCGTTATAATTTCTTTCATGAGTCATTCTTAAATATTCAAATATAGACTTTGCAGAGTCTCTATAGCATTGACAGGATGTATGTACCCATCTATTACCATATCTCATAGATTTGCATCATGGCCAAGAAAGAAACTTTGTATTCTGTCTTTCCATTAATCAAATTTATCTCTATAAAAAATTGGAGGTTTATCAAAGTAATAATCTTGATCATTGTTTGCATGTGCCATTTTATGTTTCAAATAAATATGGATATTTATCTAACACGGTTAAGTGTTTGACACAACAAGTCAATACCAGAACCAGAGCTTTCATACCAATTGAACGCAAGAAACACACTAAATGTGGGTTTGAATTGGTTTTCTCGCTTTAAAAACTTTTTCCACCCAATATATCAAATATCAAAGGTAAAGATAAAGATAAGAACACAAGTATTATTATTCTGGTTCGTTGTTAACGAAGTTACGTCCAGTCCACCCACCTGAGTGATTTTACCTTCAAAAAGGAATTAATCTAATGATTAATTTGATTATACAAGTCAAAGATTAATTATCTAAGATTCTTGAGAATTCTGAATATACCTTAGTCTCTCAAAGAATTACAACTCAAAAACTAACCGTTAATGACTTCTTGAGAATCCTTACTAAATTTAGTCTCTCAAGAAAATTAACCAAAGTTAATATAACAAGTTTTGTGTTTACAAGTGTGCTTCTTAACAAGCAGATTACACACTGTGGTATTTTAGATTGAACTCTAGTGTCGATAAGGATAACTTGATATTTCGACAGGAGTTGTGCATGTTGTAGTCGAAGTCTGTTCAAGCATGTTGCGAAATATATTAACTTGTAATTTAAGTTAGTATGTTGAATCGGGTCTTGCTTGTAAGACCAATTGTTTAAGTTAGCTTGTGTAATGGGCTTGTGTGTAAAAACACATTATGTTAGTATGCTAGTTTCTTATAAATAGCATGCTAGTATCTCATCCTTGTAAGGGTGGTAAAAATCCTAATTAGGGTGAGAGAGGTTAATTGTTAGTATTCACTTGTAATCTTTGAACCCTTATTGAGTAAGTGAATAGTAAAATAGATTTAACCAATTCTTTATTCTTCTTACTTCTTCTCTTTTTCTTTGTGAAGCCTAATAAAGTTTCTTGTGTTTGTTCAAGAAACTCAAATCTTTTTCTCATAGTTTAGTTTATTCTTGACGACACGAATTCACAACAAACTGGTGTGGTGAGCGTGGAGGAGAAGATGTCATCAACAAAGTATGAGATTGAGAAATTCACTGGTGTGAATAATTTTGATTTGTGGCACTTGAAGATGCAAGCCTTTCTCGTTCAACAAAGTTTTTTAGAAGCGTTGAAAGGATCTGAGATGATGAAAGCTAGTTTGTGCCCTTATTTGTGTAGAGTTTGTTTTAAGATGGAGATTTGTGGTATTTTGGATTGAACTCTAGTGTCGACAAGGATAGCTTGATATTTCGACAGGAGTTGTTCATGCTGTAGTCGAAGTTTGTTCAAGCATGTTGCGAAATATATTAACTTATAGTTTAAGTCAGTATGTCTAATTAGGTCTTGCTTGTAAGCCTAATTGTTTAAGTTAGCTTGTTCCTTAAGTTAACTTGTGTAATGGGCTTGTGTGTAAAATTCCATTAGGTTAGTATGCTAGTTTCTTATAAATAGCATGCTAGTCTCTCATCTTTGTAAAGGTGGTGCAAATCCTAATTAGGGTGAGAGAGGTTAATTATTGATATTCACTTGTAATATTTGAACCCTTATTGAGAAAGTGAATAGTAAAATAGATTTAACAAATTCTCTATTCTTTTGTGAAACCTAATAAGGTTTCTGGTGTTTGTTCAAGAAACTCAATCTTTATCTCATAACTTTGTTCTGTTATTGACGACATCATTTCACAACAAACTGATGCAATGAGCATGGAGTAGAAGATGTCGTCAACAAAGTATGAGATTAAAAAATTCACCGGCGTAAATGATTTCGGTTTATGGGGCTTGAAGATGAAAGCCTGCAAGCCCTTCTTGTTCAACAGGGTTTGTTATAAGCGTTGAAAGGATCAGAGAAGATGGACACTATCCTATTAGAGAAAGAGAAGAAATTGTCGAGTAACAAGTTTTTCCACTGTATGCAATTGATAAAACTGCACGATGAAAACTAGTTTGTCCCCTTGTTAGTGTAGAGTTTGTTTTAAGGTGAAGATTTGTGGTATTTGAATCAAACTCTAGTGTCGATAAAGGTAGTTTCATGGTTCAAAATAAGGTTTAGTATGAAGTAGATGTTTGTTCAATGTTGATCTTGTATGCTATAGTCGAAGCCTGCTCGAGCATACTGTCGAAATACATTAACTTGTAATTTAAGTTAGTATGTCGAATTAAGTACTGCTTATAAGCCAAATTGTTTAAGTTATCTTGTGTAATTGGGTATGTGTGTAAGCCCATTAGGTTAGTATGTTAGTTTTCTTATAAATAAAATGCTGATCTCTCATCTTTGTAAGGATGGTGCAAATCCTAATTAGGGGGAGAGAGGTTAATTGTTGCTATTCACTTGTAATCTTTGAACCCTTATTAAGAAAGTGAATAGTAAAGCAGATTTAACCAATTCTTTATTCTTCTTCCTTCTTCTCTTTTTCTTTGTGAAACCTAATAGGGTTTCTTGTGTTTGTTCAAGAAACTCAATCTTTATCTCATAACTTTGTTTTGTTATTGACGACATCGTTTCACAACACACATAATGAAATCAAGTTATTTACACTTAAGAATATTTGAGATGAAGCACTAAGTGTTTCTCTCTATTTTCTCTTGATGTTGATTTTCTTCATTGAAATTATTCCAGTGTAGAGTTTCTTTTTCTCTTCACGGCGTCATTGTCTCTCTTTATTTAAAAATCCTTTGACCTCTTTAAATAGGAATAAATAGATAACCATTAACAATTATTAAGAAACTTTTATAGTCGATTATGCTTCATCTAATTGATTAGCCTTAAGATCTAATTGATTAGGTAATTTAAAAGTTCCCCCTAATCAAATTGACAATCTCCTAATTAAATATTGGGCATGACTTAAAATATTTTTAGGTGTTTTGTTAGGTAAAAAGAGGCTCCAACAAATGTTTTAAGTCTCTGTGTGAGTTGCCTTAGTATATTAGGAGTTACCCTTTTACTTTCACAAAACTCTTGTCACTCTGACAGATACAACCAGAAGAACTTTCATAACTCTGAAGATTTCATGCTCCTTCTTTGCCAAAATTTTCAGTTTCCAAAATGATAAGCATTCTATTGTAGTCTTAAATCTTCTATTTGATGAGGCTTGTGATATCTTCAAGTTATTCACCATCATTAAAAAATTTAAAAGGTATCACCATGGCTACAATGCATAGTTGTCATCATCAAAGCACTAGAATAGTTGTCAGCATTAGGATCATCAACTTCATACCCTCAAGCACATAAATCCACAAAGAGTTTCCTGTAAAGACCATGCTAACCGAGACACGGAATGCGTTGCAGTACAGGAGATAGAGATGGAACTGGGGGGTCATATATACTCAATAGTTTATTTTACTTGATTATGGATTTACAATTTTTTATTGAATCAATATATAGACTTTTAATTAAATTATATGAGTGTATAGTTCAATTTAATAACAATTTTGTATACTTAGTATAAATGATTTAAAATATAAGGTTTCTTAAAATTGTCAAATTTATAACAAACTTAGTGCCTATGATGGAAACTCCATGTCTTCAGGGTTCATTCAAAAGTATACTTTTAAATCATTTTTTAAATTGTGAAATAAAAACATTATCATAAGTTTAAAATATGTTTGGGAGTTATTATGGAAGTGCACACACGACTCACCATTTCATAATTATGGAGATATAGGTTTTGTAGAATTTTAGACAAAATACAATGGTGGTTCACTTACGAATAAATATGATGTATTTTAAATGCATACAAAAATACACTTGTGAATTTATAAAGAACAATTTTAAATTTTACAAGGGTGACTCTTACTCCAAGATAATGAGGGTGTATGAGCAAAAAGGTTTTTTAATGGAAGTATAAAAAAGGAAGTGTTATTAGTAATTAGTGAATTCCAACAAATGAGGTCAAAAAAGGAAAAGCCCATTAAAGGAAAAGCCCAATTTCCAGACGCACGACATCTCTCTGCAAATCCTCTTACACAGAATTGTTCTATTTCGGATTCGGAACAGAAAACCAACGATTTTCAGCTTCCTCAAAACGGTAATTAATTACCTCTTCTTCTTTATTGGAAACTTTTTCCTGCAAGAATTTCTAATATAAATCAATCAATAAACTATAATCTGGATTTATTTAATCATATATTGTTTTAATCATGACGTGAATTATGATGAAATGTGCAAAATTTACGTGTTGATTTGCGCATTAATTGTTGCAAATGGCTGTTTTCGTATCTTATCTCGATAACGGATTAATCTATTTATGTTTCAGATAGGATCGGATTTCGGATTTTGTTTTATTCATGGAAAGGTTCCTTTTCAGCTGTTGAGGGAGCCTCTAAGGTATGATTTTTAATTTTTTTACCTTGTAATTGTAATTGAGTAATTAAAATTTCTGCATTGATTTATACTCTTTGTGTTTGATGTAATTATTGCCCTTAATTTTGGTGAATTTTTAGCTTTTTCGATGATATAGTGAAAGAGAATGAACCATGATCATTGTTTTGTTATATTTTGTTTGATTTCATGGCTTTTTTAATTTTATTTTTCTAAAAAATTGTAAAAATTTTGTTTTTTATTTATAAATTGTAACTTTAATGGGGTATCTTTTGTGGCATTCTTAGGTGACTTCTATAGTTTAGAGTTGGAGATGGCCAGTGGGAGTAAGGTAGATGTGCAAACTTTGGATTTGACGAATAGGACTATTGAAGACACCTTGCAGAGTGAGCTGGAAAGGATACTGCAAGACCAGCGTAATCAACAGTTTATTAATCGAGATCGAGGTTTCGATATTTATAGGAGTGGAAGTGCGCCTCCAACAGTCGAGGGGTCGTTGAGTGCTTTTGGTAGTTTGAGAAACTTTGATTATGGAGCTAATAATGGTGGGAGGAGTAATAATAATAATGGGATTTTGACTGAAGATGAGATTCGATCACATCCGGCGTATCTTTCGTATTATTACTCACATGAGAGTATCAATCCTAGATTGCCGCCGCCGTTGTTGTCAAAAGAAGATTGGCGTGTTGCACAGAGGTTTCAAGTTGGCGGGTCTTCTTCAACTGAGGGATTTGGGGATTGGAGGAAGAATGCAACCCCGAATGGTGATAGCTCGTCGCTTTTTTCAATGCAACCAGAATTTTCAGTAAAACAGACTGAAAATGATTTGATGGAGTTGAGGAAAGCCAGTGGACGGAATCTCTCTAGGCAGAGTTCAACTCAGATGCTTGATAGACATATGGATGGTATGACAAGAATGCCAGGAACTGGTATTGGTGTGAGGAGGACATGTTATTCAGACATTCTTCAGGTGATGCATTTATCCTGATTGCTTCTGTTGTGGTCTTGATTTTTCATTTGTATACTTTGATTTCCAATGATTATCATAACCATCCAATAAGTTGAAAAATGATTCTTCATTTTCATAATGCAAACAAATTGGCAGAGCATTGCCTATTAATTTCTCGTCATGTTCTATCGTTGGCATTTTATTACACTTATTTCTGAAGTTAATGCTTTAGCAGGATGGATTTGATCAACCTGCTTTGTCTAGCAATATGTCACGTCCAGCAAGTCACAATGCATTTGGTGATATCAGGGATTCAACTGGCATTGTTGACCGTGAGTCCTTTGAGGGGTTGCGTTCATCAGCCTCTACCCCAGGTTTGATCGGCCTTCAGAACCACAGTGTAAATTCTCTCAGTTTTTCATCTGCTGTGGGTTCTTCTCTGTCAAGGTCGACGACCCCTGAATCACACGTTATTGGGAGACCTGTTAGATCTGGACTTCCTCATGTGGGTAGCGATGTTTTCTCTGCCGAGAAAAATGGTATTGGCTTGGGGAACCACAATGGTCACTCTAACAATATAAACGATCTTGCTGATATGGTGTCCTCTTTATCAGCGTTAAACTTATCAGGTGCTAGACGTGCAGAACAAGATAATCTTTTGAAATCTAAGATGCAGATGGAAGTTGATAATCACGCTAATGTTATGTTGAACACACCCAACAATGCTAATTTGCCCAAACATAATGAGCTTGCAACAGAGCTGAATACATTTAGTTTGAATGAGCGAGTCAATCTACTGAAAAAAACTGCTTCTTTTGCTAGTCTCCGTTCAAATGTGCATTCTACTGGAAACATAACAAGTATGCCAAATATAGACTTCGCTGGCCAAGTTCCTGGTGCATATCATGGAAACACAAAATTGCATAATGTGTACAATAATCATCTTGATACAGGTCTGTGTGTGTGCGCACGCGCACACACGAGTGTTTGTGTTTTAAATGTGTTTTTGAGTGAAATTAATTTAATGATAGTGAAGTTTAGCATTATTAATTGGATCTAACTGTTCATTTATTTGATTCTAGCTTTGAGGGGTCGGAGAGATGGACAAAATTTAGATACACTGGGAAATCAAGTGGGTTCTGAATTCAATTCTGCAACTGTGGACCCACGCATCATCCAATGCCTGCAGCAAAGTTCTGATTACTCCATGCATGGAATGAGTAGTTCTGGTGATCCTTTACAAATGAGAAATTTCTCTGATGCTTCACATGGAGACTTAGACGGACTTCGGAAAGCATATCTTGAAACACTTATTACTCAACAAAAGCAACTGTATGAACTCCCACTTCTGAGCAAATCTGGTCTTCTTAATCATGGGTTATTTGGGACTCAACCATATGGTCTTGGAATGCCACATTCAGGAAAGCAGATGACCAATTCCTCACTTCCTTCTCTTGGATCTGGAAATCCACTATTTGAGAATGAACGTATCTCACACATAAATTCTATGATGAGAAGTTCTATGGGAGGTTCTGGCAGCTCATGGCATGCTGATATTGGAAATAACATGGAGGCTAGGTTTGCTTCATCCTTGCTGGATGAATTCAAGAACAACAAAGCCAAACCTTTTGAACTTTCAGATATCACTGATCATGCTGTACAGTTCAGGTATGATTTTGCACCTCCACTCTTGTTTCTAGTGGCATGGCTCTGGAAGTCTGATTTGATAATTTGTACTATAATGCAGTACTGATCAGTATGGTAGCCGCTTTATTCAGCAGAAATTAGAAACAGCATCAGTAGAAGAGAAGAACAAGATATTTCCTGAGATAATTCCTCATGCTCGTGCCTTGATGACTGATGTCTTTGGCAATTATGTCATACAGAAAGTATATCTAGCCGTTTTTTTTTACTATATGCGGAGAGTAGTGTTATAAATATGCTATTGTTATTTGGTTAGTTAGAGTTTCACATTTGACATTGCAATATTACAGTTTTTTGAGCACGGTACTGATAGTCAAAGAAAGGAGTTGGCCAACCAACTCACAGGTCATGTTTTACCTCTTAGTCTGCAAATGTATGGTTGCAGAGTGATTCAGAAGGTGCATTTCAAGCTTTATATTCTCATATAATTCCCTATTTGGCAACTCATGCCTAACTCTTAAAATCTGGTATCGTAAATTTTTGTATAAGATGGTCTGTTTGTCCTTGTCAAATCTCAGTGCCTCTATGGGTAATGGTGACTTCTTTTTTGTATATCAAACATGAATATTTTGGTCAGCTCTTTTTTTTGTACTGATGCATGCTTGATTAAATACCAAGTAAATAATAGAATATGTGAAATGTTCTTTATGTATTGCTTTACACTTTTTGCAATACTGAAGTTTATTTTGATATCATAGTGGTATCCATCAAACTTATAAGATTTAGTCATCCTTAGGTCGGTAGGCATTAGGATTTATGGATTTAATTCCTATTTGATTTGTGTTAATATTGGGAAGTGGGAAAATGAATGCAATATTTATTTCAACTCTTTTCATAAATTTATTGACAGGCCTTGGAGGTGGTTGATGTTGATCAGCAGAGCCAAATGGTGTCAGAGCTCAGTGGTGCAATAATGAAATGTGTACGTGACCAAAACGGAAACCATGTTATTCAAAAGTGCATAGAGTGTGTCCCTCAAGATAGAATTCAGTTTATTATCTCATCTTTTTATGGGCAAGTTGTTGCACTTTCTACTCATCCTTATGGGTGCAGAGTTATTCAGGTTAGACCACTAGACATGTTAGTCACCTTCTATTGGCGCAGCATAGCTTAATTTCTTTTAGCATTTTATTTGAAAATTAACCGTTCACATGGATCCTAACAGAGGGTTCTAGAACATTGTGATGATCTAAATACTCAAGAAATTATCATGGATGAAATCATGCAATCTGTCTGCACCTTAGCACAGGATCAATATGGAAACTATGTTATTCAGGTATGTAACAATTTCACGAGTTTATATTACAAGGTAATGTACATTAGCAACTCAATTCATGTTTATGCTTTGACAATTGTTCACTTATATTTTTGCACTCGTAATGTATTGTGTAGTTTCATGAATTTGGTTCTCTTGACTCTTGGACCATTTTAAAACATATCCAGTTCATGTTTATCTTTTGACAAACGTCATTTTCTACTTACGTATTAGTCTTAGATTCTTAGCCACTTTAGGATTATCTTTTGTAAGAATGAAAGACTGGTGGAGTCTGGAGCAATAGTCTTCTAACAGAACTGTTTGGACATATGCTACCTCCTTTATTTGCTAGCAAATATCATTTTAGATCTAATGCGCATAGTCTATACTCTGTTCACGTGGCTTTTCTTTTTGATCATTTTATGTTGCAACGTCCCATACCTTGGCCATGTTCATATTTCTCAAAACTATATGAATAGACACTGAAATAAGCTACCTTTTTTAATCAGATAACGATTTAAAAAAAAAATATAGTACCGGGGATGCTCAAGGTCACACCGTCTTTACAATATGTCGTTTTTCAACTTAATACATTTAATTGAATAAAATTCATTCATTAACCAGTGAAAAAGAAATGTGATGAAACACAGGCCCTAAGTGGTATGATTCTAATGATTAGACATTTCTTTTGATTATATATTCCGCTACTTGCAGCTATTATTCCGATTTCATTTTTTGTGTGTAAGTTATTATATAGAGGTTTCATTATCGAGTGACATATCAGAAGTACTATGGTCATCGGGCGTGGTTGACATTCTGATACCTTTGTGATAATTTGGTTAAGGTTTCCTCTTGTTGTTTTGATTTTGTAGCTGCTGTCATCAACATTTTGGATTTAGATAATTAATATTGCTTGCTTTTTGTCATGTTAGTTATTACTTGTACTATTTTTTTGGTTGCTACTGCCATACCATACTTCTTTTTTGTAGCACATCCTCGAACATGGTAAACCACATGAACGGACTATTGTTATCAGCAAGCTTGCGGGACAAATTGTTAAGATGAGCCAACAAAAATTTGCTTCCAATGTCATCGAAAAGTGCTTGGCTTTTGGCTCTCCTGAAGAACGTCAAATTTTGGTGAATGAAATGCTCGGTACCTCTGATGAGAATGAGCCCTTACAGGTATGACCCCCTTTTCATCTCTTATATCATTCAATATTTAATTTTTCTATGGCTAGATATTATCTGTTATTCAAATATTTTCATGTCAATGTATTATCAGCCGAAGACATTAGTTTGTAACTAGAACTGTTGTGCAGTCATTGCTCAAGAACCCGTTCATTTCTGTTCAGTTTCCCTTCCCAATTTTTTAAAGATAAATGAAATTAATAGGTGTATTTTAATTAACATAAACAAGGAAATTTTAGAGGCTAAATGAATGATATTCAACATACAATTTGCAGGCTATGATGAAAGACCCGTTTGGAAATTATGTTGTGCAAAAGGTTCTCGAGACTTGTGATGATCAAAGTCTTGAGCTGATTCTTTCTCGCATCAAGGTTCACTTGAATGCCCTAAAGAGATATACTTACGGCAAACACATTGTTTCTCGCGTGGAGAAATTGATAACCACCGGAGGTAACGAATACAAACTCTTTTCATATATAAATTTCCATTTATTACATTTCAAATTGTTTAGATTATTTACAAATCCTTCATCATTGCAGAAAGGCGCATAGGATTGTTGGCCTAATTTCTCACACTATCAAACATCGTAACTGAAAGTCTCGAGTACAAGAAGTCGAATTTCTAATCATCGCATTACTTTTGTACAGTCAAAATAGATGTTAATATCACAAATTTCCTCTGCAAGCGATAGTTATGTAAAGCATTGGAGATAAACACGGTCGGTCAGGCAGGTGACTGGAATAACTACTTTTTCATTTTGCTTGGTTTTATTACTTCGACAAGAAAATCTCTGTAGCGAGAGTTAAACTTAGGATGTCAGGATGTCAAGATTAGAGAGTCACGACAATGTGTATTTATTGTGTATGTATGAGGTCCATTGTCTGTAAAGGAAATAATGGCAAATAAGTAGTTGCAGTAACTAGAGTCTCACTAGATCAGACTCTAAACTCTCATTTCATATATGTAAATAATATGCTACAACTTTCTTGAGTGCACATCTATTGCATTTTGTGTTTAATAGTAATTCTATATTTCATAGATTAATACTAACAGACTATGTATCAGAACTTGATAAGTTTGTGAGTTAACCTTAAACATTTTACAACTGAGAGCAGGGTTTTAAAAAACGGTCCGCGACTGCGAAAACAAAAACTACAATTCCACAAGTCTAGCCACAAAGATTCCTGCCATGTCTCCCTTATACAGCTGCTCCACAAAGCACGAACAATTTTCAAAGAAACAATAATCTTTAGTAACAATTTTCAAAGAAACAATAATCTTTAGTATAAAATACCTATTTTAACAAGGGCATCTACACAATTATTCGATTCTCTAAAAAGATGCTTTACTTGAATGTCCCTATCCTTAATAAAAAAGGCTAGAATATCTTTGATGAAATTCCTACCCATAATATTTCTAGCACAATTACTAGAAATATTTTAAGCCACCGGTTTCGAATCAACACTAATGTTTATTCTGTTAAAATCCATTTTTACCGCCAACTGCAGACCTTCAACCACTCCCCATAATTCAACTATATAGACATCACAAAAGCCTAAAGGTTTAGCAAAACCATCTAGCCACTCACCTTCATTACCCCTAATAAGATCACCCCAACCAACATTTCCTTTAGAATCTCTTATTCCATCCGAATTAATTTTGACTCTCCTTTCAACTATATAGACATCACAAAAGCCTAACGGTTTAGCAAAACCACCTAGCCACTCACCTTCATTACCCCTAATAAGATCACCCCAACCAACATTTCCTTTAGAATCTCTTATTCCATCCGAATTAATTTTGACTCTCCTTTCAACTATATAGACATCACAAAAGTCTAACGGTTTAGCAAAACCACCTAGCCACTCACCTTCATTACCCCTAATAAGATCACCACAACCAACATTTCCTTTAGAATCTCTTATTCCATCCGAATTAATTTTGACTCTCCTCGAACTAGGAGCTTCCCACTTGACAACCACCCACTCCTTCTAAATAGCACTAGTGACAACCTTATTATCTTGAAAATGCACTTTACCATATTCAAGGGTCTTGAATACGCCTCAATATGATTCTTCTTATTATGCCACCTCTTCTTCTAAATTAGCATTCAACCCATATTATAATGCATATTCACCTCTATTCAATTTTCTAAGTTACTTGAAAAATATTAAACGCCTGTCAAAGCGACATAGTCAATGGACAATCGTGGAGCACATGGATCGCGTCTTCCAACACATCTCCATAAAAATGAAGTTTTATTTAATGGAGTTTGAAATAATAATGCAAATATATCATTTCTTATTTTTTCTTCTTCTAAAAATATATATTTTTTGTTTTTGATTTTTAGTTTTGATTAAGTTCTGCAAAAGAAAATATTAAAATCATTCATTATAATGTATTGTTTATATTATAAATGTTAGTTGACTAAAATTAAATGTTCTATGTCTTATAAGTATCAATTTCAATATTAATAAATCAATAAATCAATATAATAAGGATTAAAGGGATATATTTACATAGATAAAAAATTATATAAATTATAATATGCAATCCAATAAAGAAAATCTTGAAACTTTAGATAAAGAGTGTGTGAAAATTCGTTAGGTCGTGTATGTCGAAGAGATTAAAGTTTTTTAAAAGTAAAGAATAATCATAAAATACTAAGACAACTCATATACACCTTAAAAATCTTTTCAAATATTTTTATCATACAAATTGTTTTTTAGACCAAATCAAATGATTAAGAAGCTATTCAATTTTTTTCAAAGTCTTTTTGAACTAACTAATCTATTGGATACTTAACTCAATTGATTGACAACATTTTTTCTGTTATCTAATGGATTAGAACGACATGTTAATTGATTAACCAAGTGATTGAAACAACACCTTAATGACCTACAATAATTATATATCTAATATTTTTTTTTAGGTCTGCTAATCGATTAAAGATGTATTTTCTAATCGATTATAATATTATTTTAATCGATTAGATAATTAATTCGATCCATGGATTATTTTATTTTTTTTTAATTTTTTCAATTTCTAAATCACGCAACTTTTCAACGTTTCATATTTCTTTGAAATTTATCTTTCTCCCTCTCTCTAGAAAATATTTTCTTTCACTTCATATTGCATCAGTGCTAGTAAGTGAAGCTTTGCTCATGAGAAGAAATTTTTGTAAGTGGTCGTGCTAGTCATTTATATTTTTAAGGGTGTGATATTCTTAAGAGATCGAGTTTGGTTTTTGAGATAAAACTGTCATAACATCTCTGTATTTGGTTTCTTAACCTTTGCCAAAAAAATATTGTTTTGGTTATTGAGATAAGCCATAAATCTCTAAACGGTTAGTTAGTTTAGCATGTGATAAAAGTTGTCATTTTGTTAGGGATAAGCCTATAAAAATATCAAGATCAGATTGTATTAAGGTCGTAGGCATAACCTTTAAAAGCTCAACGTTTATAGTCAAAATCCCAAGAACTCATAGGGACAGGACTAGGCCAATGTTCGCTCAAACCTGAATCACTCTTTGGTGCAATATTTCTAATCATATCATTTTAAATTCTGCAATTTACTTTCAGTACTTTATTTCCAGTGCAAATTACTCTATCAAAATTACTAATACGATCTAATCGAGAAAGATATAAAATTAATCACGAACTTTAAATACCACAATTTCCCCCATCCCCTCTTGTGCATGAAATCACTTGTCCAACATGTAGTATCAGAGTCTAACTTTTATAAGGACTAATCGTCTCAGAAAAAAAATAACTTCAAGTTATTCACTAAAAAAACTCATTCTTTAATAGAGAATGATATAGTTTGTGGAAAGAGAAAATGAATTTTTTTCAAAAAAGGGATGAATCATGGTATTTGGAAGGATATGAATGAAGGTCCATTTGTTCCTACACACAAAATTAATGGTGTTATAGAAAATAAATCTGAAAAAGGATTGGACCAAAGATGATAAAGAAAATGTACACCGCGGTTTGAAGGCAAAAGATGTCATCACTACCGCTCTCGCTCTTGATGAGCTTTTGCAAGTCTCTCACTACGAAAATGCTAAAGAAATGTGGGATATCCTTGAAATTATCCATGAAGGAACTACTGAGATAAATAGGAAAATGTTGTGCACATTAACCTGTGAGTATGAACTCTTTAGAATGAATCTTGAAGAGAGCATAAATCAAACGCAAACACGATTCGCCTATATCGTGAGCCATATGAGAACTATGGGAAAAACAATTTCAAATGAGGAGTTAGTTGTAAAAATTCTTAGATTCCTAAATCGTAGTTGGCAACCTAAAGTCACTGCGATTTTAGAATCTAAAAATTTAGCGACTACGGACACACGCGCGCACGCACACACACACACACACACACACACTTTGATAAATTGCAGGAACATGATATGAAACTAAAATGACTTTCTAATAACAAAGAAGATGGCAAGAAAAATAAGAAAAATATCGCACTAAAAGTCACAAGTACTTAAGATATAGAGCCAGAAGATAAAGAGTGCCAAAATAAAAGTAATGAGTTCATGGAATTCATGTTTCGTAAATTCAAAGAATTCCTAAAGCGTGAAAAATAAATCTTAAGTCTCTAGAAGAAGAGTGAAGAAAGTTTCTCGTTCATTCCTACATGTCATCAATGCGGAGAAAAAAGGAACATAAGACCAAACTGCCCTAAAAACCCGAGAAGAAACCAAAATCAAAGAAAGTTTAAGAAATCTCGAAAGATAGCATATATATCCTGGGATAACGATGATATAAAATATTCAAATAAGGAAGAAAGAAACCTCTATTTCACGGAAAATCATCAAGACTAGGGATAGCAATGGGCAAGGTTTGGGTAAGGTACTATAGTACCCGTCCCCATACTTACAATTGGAAAAAATCTCCGTACCCGAGTCCATACCCGCTTGAATACTAACATTGGCATCCCTACCTGTATCCTATAGGTATGTAAGTGCCCGTATCCGTATCCGTTACCCGAATTTTTGATAAAAATAAGTATATCAAGTATAAAATATCATATTATTTTAAGTTTTTAACAAATTGCCATCCCTAATCAAGATGGTAAGGAAACCTCTCATTTTTCTTATCAAGATTTATTTTGCATTTGTAAGAACCTAACAAAAGAAACGAGTCAATTAGAAAAAACCATCTCTACCTCCAAAGACATTATCTCTTCCCTTGAATTAAAAAACAAAAACATGTTGGAAGTGATAGAAAATCTTAGAGAAAGACAATATGATCTAATTCAAAAATCTTCCTCATCTCATAAAAACTTAGACGAATCTATCAAGTGTAATCAATGTAACTTTTTGGAAAACAAAATTGATAATCTTCAAAACACACTTGATTAATTCACTAAAGGGAGAGAAAACTTAAGTCTTATGTTAGTAAACTAGAAAGCATCTTACAATAAGATTGATCTTGTTTATGAACCCAAAAACAATAGTAAAATCTTTAACGCTATTTGCAATGTCAAACAAACATCTAAATGAAAAACCTTAAAATGAAATTACTGTATGTAGCCATGTTTTATTTCATCAAAAGG